TGTCTTGTCAACTTCCTTTGCTTTTATTAGACCGAGATGTCTCAGTCTGCTCCAGATGGCAGCTGTTTTTTCCTCCCGATTAAAGGCAGTTGTATAATAAATTTTCTTGGCGTTTCGAATCATATGCTGGACTCGGTTTCTCATGATCTTAAAATTGTAATAGCTAGCATCATTCCCATTCCTCCTCCAGACTCTTCTGAGTTTGTCTCTCTCTCTCATTAGCTCTTTAATTTCATTAGTCAGCCATGGCGACGGCAGGTTCTTAAAACTTATTCTCTTGAGAGGTGCATGCTCATTGTAATAATGAGTAAGTACATGATTAAAAATCCCCACCTTCTCATCAATGCAGTGAGACGACGCAACATCCGTCCACCTCCAACTCACCACATCCTCTAGAAACTTTTGTTCATCAAAGCCTCGAAAATCTCTGCACAGCAGAGTTCTGGGTTTGCGTCGCTCGATGTTGATGCCATAAGTGATTTGAATAAGATCATGAGCCGATAGAAACGGAACAGGAAATTTGTTAATATTGACTAGCTTGTTGTTATCAAAAGTAAAAGAGAGAGAGAGAGAGAGAGAGAGAGAGAGAGAGAAGGATAAAAGACGTCCGAGAGATGGAAAAATCGGTCGGTGTTTAGGAGGGCAATTTAACGCAATTATATTCGCGATTTTCAAACGACGCGATAAATATTGCTCCTAGGCATAATTAGCATGATTCATTGCGAGATGATGGAAAATAATGGAAACTTCCCGACGGAATAAACTTCAGAAGCCTGGCACACTCATTAAGAAGTCAAAGGAAGTAGGACTGCGTGACGAAAACCTATAAATCGTTCACGTAATTGCGCGCAACGCGCTGCACGGTCTGTTATTACCGGAGACCGATAACGATAATGTTCGCACAAACCATGCGCAGCGTATATGCCTTATAACTACAGCTTTTGAATACAAAGTCATGCAAATTTCGTTTTTTGCATCGCCTCGCGTATACGTAAAAAACGAAATGTGCGTGACATAATGCTCGAGTATGATACTGAATCGAGCGTGAAATATTTTTCCGTTTTGAATAGCCAGGTATATTTGTCGTCGCGCAACGGATCGCACAGGTCCGGGCTGTATGTGCAGTATTTAACGTGTTCTAGCTGATATATAAATAACTAATCGATCTCAATGAAAAAATTTTTATGTCGAGCAACGGATATAAAAAATTCTTCTCCAAATCAGTCTATATACATATTTGTTCTTTCACAATCTACATTTGCAATAAAATAAATGTCAAAATGTATTACATGCAATATATATGTAAAAATATTTTTAAATAGAACGAAAAAGTTTTTTAACATTTTGTAAATATCGCAAAAATGCTTTAACGAAAAAAAATAATAGATTTGTCAGAGTTATAGAAAACATTGAAGGCTGCCAATATTGATATATAAAAATATATATATATATATATATATCGCGATCGAAAATAAATAGATATTTTGTAAGGAATAGTTTCATTATACGTGAGCTATTTAATTTAAAACGACGTTGTAAAAAGTTAATAGGTTAATAGTTCTAATAGGAACGTATTGCACAATTCTCAGCCAGTGTTTTCCCATCCCAAAAGAAACCCCGGACAATATCCCGAGCGCTATTTCTATCTTATCTTCCTGCCGAGCGACGTTCCGGGGCGGTTGTTAGATACGAACAGTTTCCACGGAAGAGCATTAGCGGCGTTATTAGCGCTAGTTAGAGGATACGCTTTGGTGAGAGATGAGAGCGGTGTATAATTATCCGAGAGCTCCCTCTTCTCTCCCCCCTCGCCCACGGCTCAACAGACGAGGACGACGTGTTTATGTGGCGCCGACTGAAGGAGCCTGGCAAGAGAGTGTCTTGTATTATCTGCGACATCAGACCAGCCGACGACGACGACGACGACGACGGTGACGGCGACGAGTCGTTGAAGGAGGGTAGCGGGAGTCGAAATGAGTAACAAGTAATCTAGCATTTCTTGCACAGTGTAGCAGCTGCACCCAAGAAATTGCAAACTTAGCGATATCTTAACGCGCTGCAACCTGAATTTATTATGATTTAACGGCATCACGTGATTGCGTGTACAGTTGCATGCCACGCCATCGAAAGAGAGAGAGAGAGAGAGAGAGAGAGAGAGAGAGAGAGAAAGAAAGAAAGAGGGACGCACGTAAATTTGCGTTAAAAAGAAAACTAAATATATAATACGTATGCCTCTACCGTACACTTCTTGCTGCAAACGAGATGCAGATTTATATCCTTATAAAAAAGAAAAAAATCTGTGCCGCGAAGTTGCTAGTGCACATTGCGCGCGCCTAAATCGCGTGCGCGATATTTCGGCGCGTATCAGATTCGATTTGAGCTTTCAATTAATATCAAATCACATCGTTATCAATTTTCGGGGCACGTAATTAATTTGGGAAAATTCACGGCTTTCAGTCGAAACTTTTCAAATTGTTTTCCTTTTTTTTTTCTGTTGTTAATTTGCGACGTAAATTGCTGCGATCATTGCGTCCCGCGCTGCATCCGCGCTCTGTTTTGCGTCCGCTCAATGTGTATCCTTTCCAAATTCTCTCCATGTTAACATTACACACGCGCGCAAGTCTTCTCTTAGAGTGGTTTAATTAAAGTGCCGAATTAAATCAGGTTACACAATAATGTACGATTCAATAATCAATACGAATTACGTAAATCACCTTTCCTGCACGGCAACATGCACAACACAATCGCGGGACGCGCGGTACACAATCCTATAATTTTGCGTATAGTAATGAGCGGAATTGACACTCGAATTTCCATGAAACAATTGATATGCGTTTCGATGCATCGCCAGCGCATCCGTATCAGCCGACACATACACCCCCTCTCCCCCTCCCCCTCGTCCTACTGCCATTACCACTTCAATCCATTTTAGTCGAATTCATTAATCGTTACAATATGCATTAGACCCCGTGCAACGTGCTAGCTTTTAAACGTTTTCGCATTGAATTTATTCCCGTATTAAATTTCACCTACGCACGCCGCGTGAATATAAAAAAAGCTATTTCGATGTGTTTGCTGAAAGTGGGCCGGCTTTACGGAAGGTCGAAAGTACAGCCGATAAGTTTATACGAATGTTACTTCTACGAAGATTTATCTATGTTTGCGAGAAAAAAAATCGTCAAGAATAGAAGAAAAATCTTCCTGTCGTTTCTATTTCTATTTTGTCTAGCTATCACACGAATATTAGGAACAAACCTGGACCGAGTTATTATCACTGTTATCACATTGTGTTAAGTGGCAGAATTGAAGAATGTTTTTTTCAGGTCTACGGCCAGGCAGAGTAAACGCTTTAAAATATATCTCGCTCTTTCCCTTTTTTTTATCAGGATAGCATTCAAAACATTTTGTTTACGAAATGATACTTTAAAACGTTACACCCTGAGATAAAGTAAATATCTGGAGCTGTCAGACTATTGTAAAATCAAGATTTTCGAAAGATTTGACGAGATTTATCACATGTCACTCAAAGATCTTTGTCAGTGGACATTCGAGTATCTATTTAATACCTGCCGCACGTGTTTACATATACACTTAAGCTAAGAAATGGTAGGGAGAGAGGCCTTTTACAATCTCTCTCTCTCTCTCTCTCTCTCTTTCTCTCTCTCTCTCTCTGTCTACCCTGTTCGGGGTATCTTTTTACTGCGGATAGAGCTTTATAATGCGCCTCGATGACGTTAGCGTTACATTGGATCTCGAGCGTGAGTGCATCGTCGTAAACGCACGAACAAAGGCTGCGTTAAGTGCATAAGGCGATGGTTATACTGCTTCACGCTCTACTTGCTCGTATATTATATTGTTCGATACTTTATTGCTCTACGCACTAGGATGCGATGATGAAATAAAACGTCCGCCTTGTACGCGAGAAGTAGCCTCTCGTTTTTTTCTCCCGTCTGAATTAGCTTTGTTGATAAATAAAGGATTCTAAAAAAAAAAAAACAAAATTGAAAGTATCCTTTAGTTTATCGCTAATAAAAACAAAAGCTGATATCTTTATCGAAAACATTTGGCTATAATTAGCACGATTCTTACACGCGAAACGACATTTCAGGAATAGACGATGAAAAATCGAATAGTCCTTGGAGGTCATTAGAGATCATGGATTGCTAATTAATTGGAAATTAGAATTCGTCTAGTCAGATCATTTTAATTTTAATTCCGTTTCATTCCGACTGATCAAAAATTTTAATCTCCAATTCGCAATCTTCAATCTCCAATGCGTAATGTGACACGGGCTTCAAGGCACGAGAGAGAACGAATGCGAGCCTCCGCGCGAGCCTTCTCTCGCGTGCCAGCACCTTATTTTCTGCCGGTAAAAATAAAAGCACCCGCGCGGGCGTGCAATTTTCCTAGGAACGATCGGTTCGTCAAGCCGCGATTTAACGATTACGAATTCAACGATTCTCTCTCTCTCTCTCTCTCTCTCTCTTTCTCTCTCTCTCTCTCTCTCTCTCTCTGAGGAGGTAGGGCCTTTATCTTCTCGGCGCACTCGCGCACCGTGTATCGTGGGACCGTGCAGGTGCCGGGCGTTACACGCGGTGGCATCCAATACCTCTCTTTAACAAACGCCACGATGCCAGGCCAGGCCGAGATGTCGGCGGTAAACGCGCGGAGTATCGGAGTATCGGACTTAGTGGTCTACACACGAGAGAGGAACTCTCCCTCAGCGCCGGCGGTCGCGGCTCGTGGTGGGAGCTGCGAGAAGGGCACCCCGCGCCAGTTGACACGTCGTTGGCCGGGTCGCTCGCACCCGGCAAAAGTGTCGGCGTAGCGCGAACCGACAACGACCACCGTGTCGCTACGGCCGCTGCCGCCGCCGCCGCCACCGCCGCTGCCGCCGCCGCCGCTGCCGCTGCCGCCGTTGCCGTCGCCGTCGCCGTCACCTTTGCGTTCGCCTCTTTCGCCCGCATTGGTTAGTCGCCGCCGCTTCGTGGTGTTTCGTGTCGTTCCGCGCGCGTCGTGGCCGTAAGCCCCGTCGTACGTAGCCGTAGTTCGCGACGCACACCGAAGAGTAGTCCGCCACGCCACCGGAGGAGAGGGGCCGCCACCCTACGACGATGTTGTCGCGGAGTCGCGAAGAAGGGGAGAGACGCTCCCCGGGGGAGCACGAATCTGCGGTGTACGAGTAGGGGAAGTCAGCTGAACGGTGGTGGAGTGGTGGTGAGGGTCGAGCGACGAGAAGGGCAACCGCGCGCTGCCTCCACGTCGACCGCTCTGAGCGGTTTAGTCGTGAGTCGAGTCTCGCCGCGTCAACGTGTCGGAGGATAACATCGCGCAAACGATACGGTAACGGGCCACCACTGTGACGTGAGTCTCGTTTTCTTTCTTTTTTTGTGTTTTTCCCAGTGTCGTTAAACGCGGACGCCCGTCCTGCGGTCGTTCTGCGCAGGGTGTGCTCCGACTTTGAATTTACGTTGTTTCCTCCTCTCCGCAGATCTATAGTTTGGTGCTTGTGAAAAAAAAAGAAAAAAAAGAAAAAGTGCGTATCGCGCGCACGGGATTCAAGTGCCGCCTCTCTCGCGATCGTCTTTACCGCCGAACAAGCCAGTCCTGGTTGTGCATGGCTTCGCGTCCGAGAGTGATACCGTTGTTTCACTGCTGCGACGGATATAAGGGGAAGATAGTGCGGCGGATTGCGCAGTTGGATCGCCGATGAGAGCCGTCGAGTGTGAATAGAGAAAAAAAAAGTGGTGCTATCGTCGAGTACACGACCGACGGCGCGAGCGAGGATCGACCGCGAAAGATGCTGACGTCCAGCGCGAATCAGTATCTCCGTCCTGATCATTACCTCACGCCGCTACCTACTACGGTTAGTCTCTCTTTCTCTTTCATTCTCTCATTCTCTCTCTCTCTCTCTCTCTCTCTCTCTCTCTGTCTGTCTGTGCTGTTACTCCGCTTCTCTCTCGCTCTCTTCCTACGTCGCTATTTACGGAGTCCATTATTCATAACCCTCTCCCGTTCCCGTTTTGTATACGTCGCGAAGTTAACGATTTGTCGAGATACGCATCTCTCAACGTTCAAAGTCTTCGCCAATTTAACGAGCGATATTTCCTACTTGTCGCTTGCATTCCCCGCAAACGGCGCGGCGAAGTAACAGCGTACGTGCCTGAAAAACGTTTGCTCCTTTGTTATCCCGCTTACGTGCATCTCTTTCTCTCTCTCTCTCTCTTTTTCTCTCTCTCTCGAAGAGAAAAGGAATGTGAGTTTAAAGTGAGAAAATCGATTCGACATGTTGCGAATAAATCACGTTGTAAATTAACATGAAAAACAGACTGTGCGAGAAATAAATCGCCATAAGCGTCCCGTAAGTAACGACAATTCGAAAATCGGAATAACGATTTAAACGACGTTAATTTTATTCTGATATCCGGATATTTCGCGCAACACAGATTTATGTTATTAACGCAAACGCGCAAATAGCCGAACGCTCGAAATGTCACGCGCGTGTATATAAATGCACGCGAGAAGAGAAAGAGAGAGAGAGAGAGAGAGAGAGAGAGAGAGAGACTCCCTGCTTGAAAATATCTTTCCTAGCGGCTCATTAATGTCGTCTGTCGTCGTTTCGTTAATCCCGACGGAAACACGCGCGCCGTGTTTTACGCTCCGAAACTCCTGTAAACTATTTTTGGGGACAGCGAGTGCGCGCGTTGGCAAAGTCACGGCGTGCGTCGCGCTGATTTACGCGCGTCATAAATCAAAGCGCGATTCGGTAATACAATGCTGATTGTTGCGCGCGCGAGGGGGAGGACGAGAGAGATGGGAAAGAGCGAGTGCGAGATGGAATAGAGCCGCTCGATCGGTTCTTTCGGTACAAACGGTCTCCGCGCACGCACGTTGATGGATATTCTCGTACTTTCAAATCTCACCAATATTTAAGAGACGTAAAAAAATTTCGTGCGCACAGTTGAATCTGCAAAATAATGAACAAATGACGAAATTTACAACCTCCACTGCGGAAAGAGAATCGGCAAATCGTTTGTTATGAACAACCGCCCCGCGGTAGCTGGACCGTTAGTCAAATTCGGCACAAAGGCAAAGCACTGGGCTATTCTCCGTCTAATGCTATTTTTCCAGCTGTTTTTCGCACGAAAAAAAAAATAACTTCTGTTTTCACGACAAATTTTTTTTTATATATATTTTGCGAAAGCGGCTTTCCACTCGTAAAAAAATCAAGCTTCGACAATACAGCCCCCCCAAAAAATGAGAAAAAAATATATATTCGAAAAGTTTCAGTCAGAAGTTTCAAGCTGAGGCGCGGGCGAAGAGAAGTTTCTCTCCGAAGGGGCATAAATTAGCCCCGACAATCAAAAGCCGGCGGGCGGCATTAGCGGATTAAAATATTACGTTCGAACGTTCCCGTTAACTTTCACGAGCGCAATTAATATATAGCCTCGCGTTGCCGTAATGGCCTGTTGCAATTCACGGCATTAATATCTGTCGGCGTCGCGCCATTAGTACCAGAGACCGACCGTGAGCGCGGCGGCGGCAGCGGTGTTACGGCGGCGGGTTAGCGTTGCATGATCGTTGCATTTTAATTACGGCGGAACATCTGTTCGGTGAACGTATCAGTCGACGAGAAAATATCGCTTCTCTATACGTTAATTATACCGAGTGCATCATCGTGACCACTTCGCGGAGCCCCCGAAGGGGAGACGCGCGCGAAGGCGCCGACGATATTAAATTCCCGCACTTACACGCTAATGACGTCTGCTATCGGGCGATAGCATATTGATTATATTGGTGGCCGGTGCCGCGCGTCTCTCGGTCTTAAACGAAAAGAAAAACCAAGAGAATTTCATCGCGCGGAGATAATCATTGGCAACGTTCCGCGCCATCGGCGGCGCACCGTCCTCGATTCCAGATTCGTTGGAATTACGTACACAACGCGCGCGCGAAAATATATATCTGCTCCTGTTACACGGTCAGTTTATCCGCGAATAAAGATCATTAGTTGTGATTTCATAGATGTGTATGTGTGTGTGTGTATGAGTTTAGAATTAATATCCACGGGATTTATCATTGTTAACGGAGGTAATTCAATTTCAGGGCACGTTGACAGGTCGTTAGAAAAAAATCTCGGGGACACGTCGCGTCGCGCTCGCGTAAAAAATTTCTCAATAAATCAAAAGGGCCGGGGCGTTCCGTGGGATAAGTTTGTCCTGACGCACCCTTTATCCACGTCACTTCTCGCTCGGGCGAAAAGAGAGTGACGGCGCGGCGCTACAGATTGCGGTTTGCGCGTCATTAATTGGACTTGCCTCGCCATCCAGACGCGGCAAGTTTCGAGGGTTGTCAGATCGTGGTATTGCAATGTGGCCGGTCGATCGAAAATCACTGACGTTCACGTGTTCGTAAAAGAGGTCGAGCTCTCTCGTCAAAATTGCCAGATTCGCAACCGACAAATATATTAATTATTACCGAGTCAATTAATACTAACGATTGCATTTATCGTGTTTACGAATTATAAGAAAGTTTTACACATCAATCAACGTCGACGCGCGACCTATTGAGTTTCGAAATTATGTTGCTTTGTACAGAAATTGTGAATTGTATAATCAATGATTTCGCATAAAAAAGTTATAGAGAAAAATGTTTTCCTTCGACACGACAATTGTATCGAGGATTAACAAAGTATTCAAAGCTCAATTTATCATTTCTCAACATAAAAAGCTTTTCAGCAGAAATAGAAATGGATCGTTTTGTGGCTTTTGTTGGGGAAGGCCCTTAAAATAAATCCCACAAAATATCCTAATTCATTACACAAATGTGCAGATTTCACTTTTTAAACAGTTTTCGAATTTTGATTTGATAAAAAGCCTTTTAACGGAAATACAAATGGATCGTTTTGTGGCTTTTGTTGGGGAAAGCTCTTAAAATAAATCCCTAATAAAATATCCTACATATATCATTATATCATTACACAAATGATGACACAGATTTCTAAATATTTTTCATATTTTGATTTCAGCTGGATGCGAAGAAGAGTCCACTCGCACTGCTCGCACAGACCTGCAGTCAGATAGGAGCGGATCCACCGTCCAACAAATCGTTACTAAGTTCCTTGGACAAGACATCGAGCAACAGATCATCCAAAACCACGGAGCAGTCACGCGACAAGTCGTCGCCAACGGTGACAGTGTCGGTGACGGTGCCAACGTCGGCGAGCGAGTCAACGAAGACCAGTTTCAAGCCGTACGAATCCTGCCTGGGACGTGAGAAGACGTGCACGCCGGACGAGTCCCGGTCGGCGTCGAGCCACTCGACGTCCGGCCGTTCGAGGACACCCGGTAACAGCGGCAAACGATGCTCGAGCAATCAGAGCGCGGCGTCAACGCGCGCGGTCACGCCGCAAGGTAGAAGGACGGCGACGCCGAACGGTGAGGTAGCGCGGGACTCGCCGGTGTCGAGAAGCTCCGCGCCCTCGGTGCCGTCGAGCACGGTGGACGCTATCACGAGTCAGCCAACCGTGAGTAGTCCCTCGTTACAAGTCAAGCCCGCCTACAGTCCCGTCAGCATGCTCGCCATGGCCGATCCGTCAATCAAGGATCTCCCATTGGGCACCTTCAAGCCCGGCGTCAGTCTACCAGTCTCCACCGCCGCCTACTTGGGCTACAGCCCCGGTCAGCTGCCGATCGACGTGATGGCCAACTCGCTCATGTCCCATCACGCCGCCCTGAAGAACGGCATCAACCCCTATCTGTACGCGCGGTTGAAAACCACCGGCGGACCCGCGGACGGCCTGATGCCGATATGCCGCGATCCCTTCTGCACCGGCTGCCAGCTCAACTCGCACCTACTGTCGAGCCCCGCGACGGCCGCGGCGGCGGTCGCCAGCATCGCCAATGGCAAATTGCCGTCGGGCGCGAGCGGGGCGACGCCGGGCTCCTGTCCGGCCGGGTGCGCACAGTGCGATCACAAACCCGGCAGCGTTTCGTCCTACGGGTCGCTCGGCGCGGTCTACGCGCACGCGCAGCTCGCCGCGTTGGCCGCGGGCACGCAACTACCCTACGTGTGCAGCTGGATCGCCGGCGACACCGCGTACTGCGGCAAGAGATTCACCACGTCCGAGGAGCTGCTGCAGCATCTCAGGAGTCACACGAACGTGTCGGCGAGCGGCGCCGATCCCGCGAGCGCGGCCGCCGCGATGTCCCTGCTGCCCGGGCCGCCCCCGGCGCTGCATCCAACTCATCCGCTGTTCGCGAGGTCTTACCCTACGCCACCCTTGAGCCCGCTCGCCACCGCGCGCTACCATCCCTACGGGAAACCCTCGCCGCTCCTAACACCGTCTCTGTCGACGCTCGGTCTGCCGCTTCCGCCGCCGCCGCCGCCGCCGCCGCATCCGCACGCGACCGCCGGACTGGCGTATTTCTCGCCGTATTCCATCTACGGGTCTCGTCTAGGCGCCGCCTCCGGGATGCATCAATGAGCTCCCGGCAACGAGCGTTCTCGCGAGCGAGCCGAACGCGAGCTCCCGGGATGAGTCGATCGGCGAACTGTGATTCCGCTACGGATTCGGAGTACGTGAACGCAAAGAGCATCGGGTTCTGTTACACGCGGTGCTTTTGTCACGGGAAACCTCGCGAAGGAACCTGGAGTCGTAGAACGGATACCGAAGCGGTAGGAACGTTTTTGTTTTCTCGATTACTACGCGGTAATATACATATACTCGGTGCGTCTTCCGCAAGAGCTAAGCTTTTTTTTTACCTTATAATTGGAAATCTAATGTAGAATCCGAAAAGAATGTGTGCACACTAAACATTATATGTAGTTATCTTTTGGTGCGAATCATTACTGTTTCAATGTTGCCGCAGATAAATTTGATATATTTTGTAGATACCGAAATGTAATTTTTTTTAAGTAGTTTTCGATAGTATTCAAACGTTCTACTCTGCCAGTGATATTTTCGATAAAAAGTGATGTACTATATCTGTACTTTTGGGCTTTCTCAAAAAGGTGAAATACCGCTCGTTATCGCGTATGCCTACCTCAGCTTTGCAAGAATAATGAACAATCTTATCGTTGCATTTGAAATACTTTTAAGACGATTAACCCTCGTTCAGCAGTATTGATAATGCAGAAGCAACGATAAATTCTATAAAATCATCATTCTTAAAATAAATTTAAGAAATATATAATACAATACATCGATTAATTTTGATTGTCTCAAAATAATCATTTTTTAATTTTTTCTATTTGATAATTACTTTCTTAAAATAATCGTTTATTCTATTTTTTTTATTTGATAATTATTATTATTATTTAATAATTTCTTAAAATAATCGTTAATTTTATTTTATCTTTCATTTGATTATTATTGTCTTAAAATAGTTGTTTTTAAATTTTTAAAATTTTTAAATTTGGCTATTACTTCGATATCTTATTTTTAATTTTTGTAACTTTTTAAAAATTTTTCTATTCGACAATTCTTTTCTTAAAATAGTCATTAATTTTGTTTTATTTTTTTTCCTATTCGATAATTATATTCGTTCTTATTATTTTACGTCACAAAATAGTTTAGTTCTATAGTAAAATCAAAATGTAATATAACGGAGGTATTTCAAATGGGCACTTGTTCTACATATGGTTAGAAAAAAAATATGAAAAGAAACAACTCAGGTACCGCGTCTCATCCGATGCAAACATTCCGCTGTTCCGAGGGTTAAACGCCTAATGCGAACGTCGCCGCAAGTTTATCGCTTTCGTCTGTTACTTGACTCTATTCTTTGGAGACTCATAATTCTCTTGTATTTGCCGCTAAAAGCATCGACACAAAAATCGCTACGTATCAAGTTAAAGCCCGGAAGCTACAAATTTACGACGAAAGCCCGCACTATAAACGGCAGTGTGCGCGTCGATTGAACGCCGTACCTTTTTGGGATGTGTGCAATTTAATAGTACTATGAAACTAATAAACTCTTTCGGAGAGCCGACAAAATTTTAATTTACGATTAAAAGTTGCGTGACGCGCGCAGGAGTATAATTTTTCGATATTTTAATCGTTCTCTGTCCATTTGCTCTGTCGGACGTACCTCTCAGTATCGGATGACGAGTGCCACACCAAACGTCGAAAAAACCAATGTTTAACTGTGATTTCCGAGTGAGAAAGTCGAGAGAGAGAGAGAGAGAGAGAGAGAAAGAGAGGGAGAGAATGCGATGCGATGAGCCTCCGCGAAAAGAGATTATACGCGTGCGAATATGTGTGCGACTAGAATTTGTTAACGATCGCGCAATCACGGGGATCTTATTTCGAACGAAAGTAATCGTCCGTAAATCGGACAAACGTTTTGTCACACATTTTACTTCAATCGCTCGACGCAATGAAGAATCTACTTTATGCTATATCTATGAAAGCCACTGCGATAATTTTATGCAACATAAAACTTTGTGACAGCGGTGTTTTCTTACGTTTAAATATTAAATATTAAAAGAAGAATGTATAAAAATACATTCCATATTTCAACGCGGAATTTATTTATTATTTATAACTTATATCATTTCATTTTGATTTATATTGTTATTAATATTATCATTAATAATATCTTTCAAGCGAGATTTGAGCTACGAGAATCTTAATACTATCTTTAATTTATATTTTTATGGCATATTATATTTCTTTTTTAACCAGCATGTGTATATAATTAATATTTCTCGTCAGCTGCTTTTTACTTCACGCAAAAATATCGGACGATTATTTATTTCATATACATATATTGCACATAATAATCCTTGTTTAAACAGTTATTGTAATCTTGCTTGGCATTTCGCGTGCACAAATATTTGAATGCCAAACAAATAGAGAAACAATAAATACATGCGTTTTTTTTTACATTTTATTCATTCGAAATTGATCCGGGAACTGCAGTGGAACAAATTTAGCTTTCATCGACTTTCGACTGAAGTATTCTCCGTTTTTGCGACTACTGGGAAATAAATAATTGATACAATGTAATCACACTATATGTATATGTACTATTTATAAATTATATCAATGTCCTACTTCCCTTGTAATTACTGTACATTTGTTTATAGGTATGTAAACTCTAACACAAATCCCTAATGAGGAGGCGAATAGTTCGGATATACATATATACATACGTATATAAAAAGATATACATATGAATATATATATATATACATATATATATATATATAACTGCGTCTATTTTTGCGTAACCAAAGTTTTAGTAACTATCGATATCATCGATATTACGTAGCGCATCGAAACTTTACGTATGTACATGACATTATATTGAAGAGCGACGTGAATGACGATTATTACGAGGTATTGTAATTTGTAAATAGCTTTATTATAAACGCAACGTTGTAGTTATCGAAAAGAGACATTGTGAATGTCGTCGAATTTGCTCACAATTCTAATTCTTACGTTGACTCTGTGTAGTTTTCTGATTTTTATATGTGATTACAAAGCTTTGTATTTACTTGGCACGGCATCAGTGTCATTACCTACAACAACTCGTCGTTATTCTATCATTGTTTTATTCTATGTTACTCAAGAGTTTGATTCTTTTCAAAACCGAAATACAGCAAATCGTTTCTTACAAAAAAAAAAAAAGATTCTCGTATTTATTAATACCATCACTTCACCAAAACGTCCTAGATTAGGTAGTTTAAACTTTTGCGAAACATATTTCATTTTCTATTTTCAAATTATAATAAATTATAATAAATTATTTTTCATTATATTTGTCGAGTTTCAAGACTCGAGATTCAGGCGAAAGGATATTTTTGAAATTGATATCATAAAAGCTTTCTACGACATGTGCTTTATCGTGTGCGAAATGACTGCATGCAGATACGTAACGAACGACTATATGCAAATTCACCTAACGTTCAACCGACTGCGCAAATTAATAATGTTCAGTCAAATGCCCCGGTGAGAATTATAAATTATGGTCGTCATCGCTTCTGTCGTGTTACGGCGAATCAATATTAGCGCACTCGCGTTTCCCAGTGTAAGCACAACCTTAATCACCGGTCGCTACATTGAAATAAATCATTTGCAATACAACGGACGATCGCGTGAATAAAAGCATCGATTTCCCGATGACAACCGATGACAATTTACCCGTCCCCCGGGAACTTAAATTATTTAAATTACGTCATAAAATTGATTTCTGGCCGGATAGCGTTTATATGCCAACTTTACGGACGGCGAAGCGCGTAACTGTTATTACATCAGGCGGATCTGAATTTCCATCCTCCATGGGAGGTATCACGAAAACTGCAAAATACATAAACGATATCCCCGATTCGCATGTCGCGAATTATTATCGCTTTTCCCATCGCGGGAGCAGCCCATCGATAGCATGCGACACGCGACATCCCGCGCGCGAATATGAGGACGATAAAAAAAGAAATGACGAGAACGACGGTAATTTTGTGACAAGTTGAATAAAAGAACGAGGGGCGTGTTCCTTCCGTGAAGAGGAAGGGGAAGAGGGGGGAGGGCGTCGCGTCGGTACCACGCCACGAAAACAAAAAGCGGAAGCAGATGCAGCGGGGAAGTCGAACCGGCTTGCGCATGGGGTGATTTCGCTTGCCCTTTAAGTGATTTATGAACAGACGCTGCGACTCCATCTACTTGACCTATTCACCTCGTTAGAAAGGATAATGTATTCATGAGTGGCCAACCTTAGCCGCGTTAGCCTCCTATCGAACGTCGTACGGCGAAACGTAGAAAAATCGCTTCTGACAAAGATTTCTAGTTTTGAATCGCGATTGTACTTTGACTCTCACGGGAGCTGCCTGCGTTTCGTATTTTTTTTTTTTTTAAGGCGGTCCCTTTCATGTGTCTGGATGCTCTTTTACTGTCGAGAGAAAGAAGAAAGTTTAGGGGAAAAAAATGTTTCCTCCGCTGTCAGAATTGATCTCGTCAAGGTCCGCCGAAGCGAGCGTGTTCGTTTCCATATATTTATACGTATTAATTTTTATAACGTGCGCGCGCATAATGTTTATCATTTCCCGTCGAAGTCACTATACTCGCGGCGGCTACTACACAGTGTGTAACGTCTGTTCTTGGCCGTGACAAGAAAGTTATGCATCAAGTATCTAGTCAAGAGTGCTCTTCCGGCAATGTTTTGCATCAGGGAAGGCATCGACGGCGGTAAAAGAAAGCAGCGGCACTTGCTGAAGAGTACTTCAAACGGATTAGTTGGCGCCAGTGAATTCAATGGTTTCCGTTCGCTGCTCGGCAAACCGGTTTTATCACAAGTCTGAGCTATCTTTTATATTTCGCTTTTTGTTTAAAAAGTTGTCAATTATTACCGCACTTAAATATTACGTAATATGTGCTCATTCAAGATCTCACTATCGCGAATGTAGAGAAACAAACCGGAAAAATTCTCAGAGAATTTTCGTAGGTGGATATAAAATAAGTTTATGACTTTATTTTATCGTTCTTATATT